TGATCTGAGAAGATTAAGGGGATTATTGAGAACCTAGTACCTACGATATACGAATATTAAGGACCTAGTATTTATGATCTGAGAAGATTAAGGGGATTATTGAGAACCTAGTACCTACGATATACGAATATTAAGGACCTAGTATTTATGATCTGAGAAGATTAAGGGGATTATTGAGAACCTAGTACCTACGACATACGAATATTAAGGACCTAGTATTTATGATCTGAGAAGATTAAGGAGATTATTGAGAACCTAGTACCTACGATATACGAATATTAAGGACCTAGTATTTATGATCTGAAAAGATTAAGGGGATTATTGAGAACCTAGTACCTACGATATACGAATATTAAGGACCTAGTATTTATGATCTGAGAAGATTAAGGGGATTATTGAGAACCTAGTACCTACGATATACGAATATTAAGGACCTAGTATTTATGATCTGAGAAGATTAAGGGGATTATTGAGAACCTAGTACCTACGATATACGAATATTAAGGACCTAGTAGTTTTGAATTGAGAAGACAACAGTACTCTTAGGGACACATTAGTTACAAGTAAGACCAACACGCTTAAAATTTCTCCGTTACTTTACCAGATATACCGGTAATATGGGTCCGAACACCTTTCAGGGTAAGCCCTGTCAGTTATTGTCACTGTTGCCTATACGTATTAGTAGCAGTAGAGTAGAACTTTGTAAGTGCTAAACTTGCAAGTTTAAATCGATATAAAAAATATTGAATCTAAACGTACAAATTCTAAAATTGCGTGAGACCAGGCACTTTCTTTCAGTCTACTTTTTCAAATTCGATGACGAGGAACCCACTTTGAGACTAATAATGGCTGGAGACGGCTTAAATGGGTAACGAAGAAAAACTTTAATATAAGTTTAACATGACAGCAAATGTACAACGTTTCGACAAGGTTTTGTCATCATCAGGTACAAAACCTTGTCGAAACGTTGTGCATTTGCTGTCATGTTAAACTTATATTAA